GTCTTGTTGGGGGGAATTGTTATTAATTAGATCTAACAGCCCCATTGCCAGCAATATACCCTATCAGGTTAACTTCCACGCGATTTCCCCTGTAAACCATCGTGGCTAATTCTTGTGATATTTGTCACGATAAGCTAACTGACCTGCTTTCATCCTCACGTATCTCTCACTGGTGTCCAGCCAGTATATACTGATAGCCCAAATGGGGTTACCATTTCGTTCTCTACCATTACACAAATGTTGTCTTGTTCTTTCATATCTCATTGAGCTGACCAAAACGTAAACATAGATAGATTCGTTTGTACTTAATCTAGAGTGTAGCCCCATCTGTAGTCACGTGAACTAAACTTTTTATGATTTAAATATTTGTAATGAGGTCTTTGAAGTTGATATCTAGTTAAGTTACATTATATTTAGCTTTTTTGAAGATATAATGTTGCCACCCATTAACTGTTCGTTACTGAACCCCTTGAGAGGTTTTGCCAGTAGTTGCCATGCCTGGCAGGCAGGTTAGCAACCATAGTTTGGTGATATTTTAAGAGAGAGACTGCTACTGGTCAATCCTCGACCGTCAAGTTCCTTAGACACCTCTTACGAAATCCACGGGAAATAAAGGGATGGCATATTCTATGCCAAGATCACAGGGTCAATTTATCCTTATTTTCTTTGTGACTACAAAATAAAATAATCGCAGATAATATCTTTTAGATTTTATATATTTTAATATAACTGAAGCTATCTCGCTGCTGCAACGTCTTGATTAGAACGCCAGATGGTGCTCTAATCAAGGCGTTGCAGTAGAGAGAATTCATACGTTTAATCGTATTAGATGGGTTTTACTCGCTTGTACTGTAGCTTTATAGCACTTTGAAGCTTTTTGTACAAAGCTTAGTTGTTCGCTTCATTATAGAATCTTTTCAAGCAACTTAGAATGGCAAACAATCTGACGGCCCACCTGATGAAAAGTGGTAACAGTCGCCTATAGACATGAGCAGTAACATGCACATAACAGGGTATACTGTTTCATCTATGATGCCCCCCATACGTTGCTATTCCTGAGGACTCAGGTGTTATTCCTCTGTGCCCTGTAAATTCACTGCCATATACTACGCTTCAAACCGAAACGTAGCCATGCATACATAGCTGCTTCACGGTAGAAACACGAATGGGACAGAGGTGCTCAAGCAAACGCCTTTTGTACAAAGCCTCCCTCTGTTAAAATATATTTGGTAGAATTTCACATTTAAATCATCTATGTTCACATAGACTTGTTTATAAGCACTTTTAAATCGACATCTCTAATGAATCTACTGCAGGGAATATTGTTATCTGTTGAAAAGAACTCGCAAGAATCTTTACAGTTTCTCTTTTGAATCTCTGTTAACATTATCTGTATTTATTTAAATGTACAATGTCCAAAATTACATGGTTATTAAAAAGCCTGTGCATGATCGACTAACACCACGCACGTTTATCATTCAATTAATCGTTTAATGTGTAATAAATAGGGATTGTTCAATAAGTGTTCTTAACAACAATTTTAAATTTATTATAAGGTAGATTTAAAATATTCTTCGGTATCTTATTATAATATTAAATTTATAATATAAATATTCTTCTAAAAGACCTATTAACATTTTCAAATATTTATTCAGAACACTAATTTTGTATTTGTATCTAGTATTAAGATTATTAAGATCGCTGTTTTTAAGAAACAATTGAAGATTCCTGCATATACTCGTATACAGAGCAGATATAAATGGGTTTTGAATGTATTGAAATCCATTGAAATTCAGTCGTCTTATTCAGTTCTTTTAAATTAAAAGAAATATTTGTAAAGACAGATCTATGTACAAATCCATCTAGAATGTTTATTACTCTTTCACGCAAAAACTACTAATCAGATTTGAATGAAATTTGGTACACGGTTAGATTATGTCCTAATTTAGCACACAGAATATACTTTATGTATTAATTCATGCGAGCAGAGCTGTGGAAAACAGCTAGCGATTGACAAAACTACAAAGAGATCGTCCGCTATTATTCTCACATTGTTACATTCAAATGTTGTAAAATGGCCCTAAAATATACGAGATCCAGCGTATAAATGTACGCTGACAAATTAAGCTTCAAATTTCCGCCATTTTAACGCCATCTTGTTTTAAGACTGTTTAATTGTTTAATTTAGTTAAATATTGTGTTTTGTGAGAGCGTGTTTGAAATTAGACGCCATTGTGGAGATGCGCGGATGGAATTGTTTAATGAGCGTTGAGATATGATACTTATGTAGCATTATATGTTATAATATGTGATACGATATGGAGTAATTATTTTGATGTACATATCTAACTATTTGTACACATCTACATTAATAATGGGACAAAACAATGATCATATATATACATATATATACAATACTAAATTTTATAAAGATTAGCTGAGCAGTTAAGGAAATATGAAGTTACAAATTCTCAATCGAAATTATTAATTTACAAACAAATAGATTTATACATTTACTCCCTCATTCATAAAAACTAAAACCTATCGTCTATGGAACTCACTACCTACCTCTATTCGGTGCACTCAAACTCTTACTAGCTTTAAAACCTCTGTTAAATTTTACTACCTTTCACTTTAGTACTATTTTCCTGTGTTCTCTCTTCGTTTTCCTTCGTCATTTTTTTTCTGTTGTATGTGTGCTGTTAAGTATGTGTAGGTTATGTATATATTTAATTGTGTATATATTATATATGTATGAGTATGTATGTATGTATGTATCTGTATATGATAATATTTATGTACTCTTTGTCTTTTTCTCAATGTCCTCTACCCAAAGGTTGTCTGGAAGAGATTGCTTAGCGATAAGGCCGCCTTTTGTATCATTTTTCATTAATATTTACTGTATTTGTTATCTCTCTTTTTACCTGGTGCAATAAAGTGTAAATAAATAAATAAATAAAACCTCCTAAAATCTAACTATTTGAACGTTTTGTGACTGTCACTTAAATTATCAAAATCGGTACACAAGAATATAGATAGATAGATACATTTATTTGCCAGAACATTGTTTTTAGATATCTTGTTTTATTGTGAAGTACAAATTTTCACTTTATAGTCTAAGGCATGCAAATTCATTGTTAAGTAGGTACTAAGTTGGTTAAGTCATACTTAACTATTTGAACATTACGTCAATTGTTCCTTCGGTTACAAGAAAAAGAAACGGATGAATTGAGAATCTCCCGCCTTTTGGAAGTCGTTAAAGTCTTTATATCCTATTAGTCTAATTCCAAATCTCTCTTGCAAAATGTATAGCAATATCAAGTGAAGGTAATCCGTAATACTTTTTTGGGTTCCGTACCTGCAAAGAAAAAAATGGAACCCTTACTAGGATTACTTCGTTATCCGTCCGTCCGTCTGTCTGTCAAGGCCCTTTTATGTCAAGACGTTCTGGAAGTATCATGTTAAAATTAATGCCATATACTCAGATTTGCAATCTCTTAAAGTAGTGGAAAAATTAAACTTCTGAATCGACGCAATCAAAAGATACGGTCGTCTATGTTCCATTTATATCGCATATTTTGATATTTGCAAAGGGAATCAAAATCTATAGAGTACTTCCAGTTGACGTAGAATCATGAATTTTGGCAAGAAGTAATGCTATGTAGCACAAGTTCACCAGAGGGAGACTCAACAAAAGTCGTTTGTTTGGGCACCTCTCTCTCATTTGTGTTTCTACCGTGAAACAGTTGCGTTTGCATGGCTGTGTTTAAGTTTGAAGTGGGATATGGCAGTGAATTTACAGGGTACAGAGGAATAATACCTGAGTTCTCAAGAATGGCAACACATGGGGAGTACCATGGACGAAACGGTATACTCTGTTATGTCCATGGTACGTCTCATGTCTATAGACGACGGTCACCACTTTCCATCAGGTGGGTCATCAGTTTGTTTGCTATTCTAAATTGCATTAAAAAAAAAAACAAATAAAGAAAAAAAATCCGAAAGCAGGTAAATTTGTAGTTATTTTAAAAATTTTAACTTGATGATTTTATACGGAACCCTTGTTGTGCGAAACCGACTTGTACTTGAGCGGATTTTTTCAATTCATTGGCCCGATTTAACGATACGTAAGAATTTAACGAACGCAACAATACAGTCATGACGTCTGTTTATTGATGAATAATATGCTGATCAGCTAAATGGCTACGTTGTACCCAAAAAGGTAATATAATGGGACATACGATTTTATATTTAGCATGGCAATTGTCTACAATGACATATTATTGTGGAGTCATTATTCGTTTGTAACAGATGTCATTTCATCAATTTACGTTTATAGATGGGATTGTTAGTAATGGGGAGGTTAGTCCCCATTGCTATCAATCAAGAGGTCGACCTAGTAAGGTATCTATTAGGTCTTTTTTATACAACTTAGAATGGCAAACAAGCTGACGGTTTCTCTTCCAGCAAACCCTGAGTGGAGAGGAGCACCAATTACCAGCGGGCAGTATGCGTACAATAATAGAAGGAAACATTATAGATGTTTCTATTAAGAAATAATAAATATGTTGACATATATACAAAGTAACTCATATATTTAAAATCAAAATACATACATATTTGTATACAATAATACATATACATATATACACAAACATAAAATATCGCTTCACATGCAAAATACGTACATATACATACATAGACATAATAAGTTTGTGAGGCTTTATATAGAGTTTTATTTCCAGATTTATTATTTTCCTTTTTAAAGGCCGGCAGCACGCCTGCAATGCCGCTTGTGTTGTGGGTGACCATGGGCGGCGGTAGTCACTTACCATCAGGTGAGCCGCATACTCATTTGCCCCGTGTGTTGTAAACAAAAAGAGATGTCATTCCATTGCAACGGTGTATCGTACTGTATACTGTATTCAGTTAGATGCCTCTTACGGCATACTCTAAAAATGATTTAATTCAGATAATATATGTATTTATTTTTGTTTCAGGATGTGAATTGGGAGTCTATGAATCTATGGTAAGTTATAGTATTTTATAGTACATCTAACATATAAAATTCTCGTGTCGCGGTGTTTGTCACCAAACTCCTCCGAAACGGCTTAACCGATTTTTATAAAATTTTGTGTGCATATCGAGTAGGTATGAGAATCGGCCAACATTTGTTTTTATACCCCTCAATGATAAGGGTGACCCACCCTTAAAAAATTTTTTAAAATTTTTATGACAAGTTTTTTTTATTTTTATTTAAATATAATTTAGTATTGAAAAATACATACAAATTCAAATTTTAACGCTTTTACGATCAAGCCCTATTGTTTAATCGCAATTTTTATATGCCGCAATAGGCTTGCAAGATGGCAATCGAATATAATAATTGTAGTAGGATAAATTTTCATGTATAATTCTCGAAATAACGTATATGGTAAAACAACGTTTGCCGTGTCAGCTAGTATATGAATAATAATAAATTTCACCTGTTATTTCACAGTGCAGTGAAAACTATTTTTATATATTTTTAAATATTGTTCGAGGAATCTCTTTCTTTTTCAAAGAAGTACATGCGTTTTGTTTTTAAATTTGAAAATTATTAATCATTTTGATATACTAGATGCTACACTGTATATGTATGTATGCTATACTATACTTTATATAGATGTACTGGGGTGTTCTTCTCTAGAAATCTGTCCGATTCTTGAATAAGGGTACACGAGTATGCGACCGTGACCTCCCAAGCCGCTACAGTGTCTCAGTGCTTTCCGCAACTGCAGTGTCCCCACCTTTCCTTTCCCACATAAGTCCTTTATTCCTCTTATTTGCCAATTTCCTTTACAAAGGGAGATTTTGTATAAAAGTCGATTGCTTGGGTACCTCTGTCCCATTTGTGTTTCAACCGTGAAGCAGTTGTGTTTGCATGGCTGTGTTTCGGTTTGAACGGTGGGATATGGCGTGAATTTACAGGGTACAGGGGAATAATATCTGAGTCCTCAGGAATGACAATGCATGGAGGGTATCATGGGCGAAACAGTATACTCTGTTATGTCTATGGTACTGCTCATGTCTATAGGCGACGGTTACCATTTTCCATCAGGTGGACCGTCAGATTGATTGCCATTCTAAGTTGCATAAAAAACAAGATATATTAATATGAAATATAAACATTTAAGATAATAAGATAAATTATTAATTATATATTTATTATATTTATTGACGTCTTATTTTGTGGGACATATTCATAATTTTAACACTTGAACCGCTGACCAGTCACTGTGACCGGTGTTTTAAATTCATTACTTAATATCTCCGAAATTTGTTTCCACAGTTCTAAGTATACAAACCACAGTGATAATTGTAGTATTTTTTAATAGATAATAAAATCTTTTTGTAAGGACTAATATGAACTAATTGCGTAAAAACCATAAACTATAAATATCTAAATAGAAGAGATAGTTAATATATATATATATATATATATATGTGTATATATATATATATATATATATATATATATATTTAAAGATAAAAAATTTCTTAATTCAAATTTTTCAATTGTAATTTTGCCGTATCATGCTGTAACAAGTGGTAAATGAAGTCACAAAAACTTAGCTCTCAATAATAACAAATTTCGGAAATATTAAGTAATGAATTCAAAACATCGGTCAAAATGACCGGTCCGCGATTCGAGTGTTAAACACAAAGATAATATTCGTTACCATCCTACTCCAATGCCATCGATTTAATGCCCTTAAAATATACATTTGAAATGTTATATGCAACAATATATATGTATATTATTTAAAATATCTTTCAGGTGTCAGTATAATAATTTCCTTTGAAATGCAAATATGTATTTGCTGAAAATATTTGTTCAGAATGATCGCCTGCATCAATGTATCTATTTTTACTTTACTAGCTGTATCTCGTGGCTTTATTGGCGTCAATCAATACAAAAATATATAAAGCATCTTATGTATTGGGTTAGTATGTAATATAAAGGCCAGCTATGCACAAGCGACTCCTCTCGTGCTGCATATGTTCATGGACGACGGTTGCTACTCGTCCTGCCTCGTCTTTGCCTGCCTAACAAAAAAAAAGACCGATTTTTTTTATACCACTGAAGTGGCAATCAAGCATACGACACACCTGATGGTAAGCGGTCACCGTAGCCTATGAACGCCTGCAATTCCATGGGTATTACGCGCACGTTGCCGACCCTAAAGAAACCTCTTTACCCCCATTTTGAAGAACCCCATGCTGTTATCTTTTAGAAAAACCTTGGGAAAAGGTGTACTAATTTTCATTTAAATTCGTTCAAGATATTTTGCGTGAAAGAGTAACAAACATATATCCATTAATCAATTCATCCATCCGTCGCCAAAAACTTTCACTTTTATAATGGATTCCATACAAATATTGTATTGATATAAATTATTTTGAACAAATATATATTATACAAGAGGCAAATATAACAGACACCATCATGTTAATAGAACTATTATTATTCATGGAAAAATATAACCATATATATTAATATACCAAAGTCATGGAATATTGATTAGTATATTTGTATTTGTATACACTAGTATATTCCTGCAATAATCAATATAAAAATCGAGATAATATCGATTGAAAAACTGTTATTGAAATACATTTAGTAAAATCTTTTAACAAACTAATCAATTACTTAGATGACGAACGTGCTTTTAAATAATTCAATGACTATGTTTTAAGGCATCATCATATCAGTCATTAACTATCCTCAAGTGAACATAGGCCTCCCCCATAAAGATAAATTATGTCAGAAGTTGCCACATTTAACAGGTGGGTTGGTAACCGCAGTTAGGGTTTGGTGACGTTTTAAGAGGGACGCTGCTGCCCATCCCCCGATTATTAAGTTCCCTTAGTCGCCTCTCACGATACCCACGGGAAAGGACGGGCTGGACCATACTATGCCGTGTGATCCCGTCTTTAGTATGGTGTTTTAAGGCATAAGATATTTAAATAACACATCTTTTACTATCAGGTGAATCGCGTCTCGTTTGTTGCCCTTTCACATAATAAAAATAAATACGCTTAAGATTAACAGAGATAGTGATATAATTAATGTGATGTGGGACAATGAGTGGGTAGAAGAAAAAATTACTGCCTCGGAAACGGCGACATAACAGCGCTACCTCAGTCTACTCGTGACCACGACCGGAGTAACATGTTTGAAACATAATTTAAACGTAAATTATCAGTTTACTTACATCTTCGCGTTAATTCACGTTTCTAATAAACCACAATAACAGAGATTTGATAATATAATTAAGTGTTGTGTTAATTGAAGTTTTTTCTTAATAGTTAACTTTCCAAAACTTTAGTAGAAATACAAAAAAAAAATACGATTTAAAAGATCTGTTATGTAAAAATATTAAATAAAATTTTATTTGATATAATTTGTCAAGAATCAAAAGTATTCATTTTTATTGTTTGCCACGAGGTTTGTTTCTAGTGTAAGGACTCAGGGGCCTTTCGGACTACTGCAGTTTCTGTTCAACGTCTCTTTGGCAACCACAGTATTCCCTTTTTCCATAAATCCTTCCTTTCTTTACTACCAACTTCTTTGCTCACTTCCAAAGTCTCGATCTGACCTGATAGAAAGCGACGATGTGGTCTAAGATGGAGCTGGTAAGACCACGAATAACCTGTTGACATTTGCCTTAAGTTGGCCCAGATTGTATTTGGATGCAGAAACATAAGCAGGGAGAGAGTTACGCTGCTTGGCCGTACGCATGATGAAGGAAGACGCAAAGTGCTTCGTGCGTTTAAATGGTTTGACAGAATTAATAAATAAATTGTTATTTGCAAAATACTGTTAATTGAAAATAGCAGATCTTAAAATTAATTACAATTGTTCTGTCATATTTACCATTGTATAGCTGAGTAAATATTATTTTACAAGTACGACGTATATTTTAACATTGTATTTTTCAAACATTTTCATGTACTCGATTGGTATATAAATAAAAAAAAATATAAATATAAATATTTTGCAAACTCCTACTATCCGAGATTTGTAACCTATATGTTTATTTTTATAGGTATCGGTTAATTTTTTTTATGTAACTTATAATGGCAAACAAGCTGACGGCCCTACTAATGGAAAGTGATAACCGTCGCCTATAAACAGGAGCAGTACCATGGACATAACAGAGTATACTATTTCGCCCATGATACCTCCCACACGTTGCCATTCTTGAGTACACAGGTGTTATTCCTCTGTACCCTGTAAATTCACTACTATATCCCACCCTTCAAACCAAAACACAACCATGCAAACACAATTGTTTCACGGTAGAAACACGAATAGGACAGAAGTCCCAAAACGACTTATGTACAAAGTATTCTGGTATTATAATAATAGAATAAATTAATTAAGAATTATCTAAAATAGATATCAATTTTATTTTCATAATACAAATATCTTTTTTAACATTTTTTTTACGGTTTTGCGAACTTCTGCAATTTCCTTGTTGAGGTTTGGGGACTTCCCAAGGGGTCGCATTCTACGCTTTGAAAAATACTGTTTAAACTAGAGCAGTAGATACGTTATACAGATTCAAAACTTTCAAAGTATTATATGTACATTCTTATAAATGTGTTATTGCAAATATTAATATAGTAAAATTACGTAGTTATAACAAAACAAACAAGGTTAACAAAACTGATTACGTCAAGCTACAATATTATTAATAACACTATGTGGTTATTTTTCTAAATTTTGTACACTCTAATTATATTAAGATATCTATATATATATATATATATATATATATATATATATATATATATATATATATATATATATATATATATATATATCAAAATTACCGTAATAAAAAAAAAATATCCCAAAAAAAAATATTAGAGCCTATTTACTAAAAATTGAAATTTCCTCTCCGTAGCTGTAGTATCCCCCATTTTTCCTATAGTTCCTTTCCACTTATCACCTCCTTTCCTTATAACCTATTCCTTTCC